GCTGACCGCTTTACTTATTTAGGAAGTACCATAAGCCCCAACGGGTTGATCTATGACGAAATCTCAGTACGGATACAGAGGGCTAGTCTTGCATATGCCAGTTTACGCCGTCTCTGGCGTAGACGTGATATCCAGCTGGCTATCGATCAAAGGGCGTGTGTACTGCTCAGCAGTTCGCTCGGTCCTCCTTTATGGCTGTGAGCGAGACATGGCCATTGAGAGTGGAAGGCATGAAAAGATTAGCTGTCTTTGATCATAGGTGCCTGCATTCTATCTCCCGTGTGAAGTGGCATATTAAGGTGAGCAATATTGAGGTTAGGCGTCAAGTGCTAGGTAAACAGGGGAAATCAATCGACGAAGTTGTGAAGTTACAAAGACAGATGGTTAGGACATGTGTTACGTATGCCAAGTCATCGTCTTCCTCGACGGGCAATGTTAGCTGACATAGGGTCAGGCTGAAAAAGGGCTAGCGGCGGTCAAACCAAAACATGGCTTCATCAGTCAATAAAATCCACAACAGTTAGTTTAAGTCACGTAGGAAGGTGTAGACTTCTTGGTTGGGGTCCTCGGGACGGTAAAAACCAATGATGACTGGAGACAATTAGTGGTATGGCTCAGATGCATCCACTCCTTGTGACTTAAGATTTCCAATTAAATTATATTGTTCTTCGTTATTACTATTCCTTGTCTCACACCTCTATTTACTGTCTCTAATATGCATTTCTTCTACTTTCTTCTCTTGCTCTGTGTGCTACTTGGAAGGAACTCGAACTGCTGCACATCTTTGCAAAGTTCTATGTCGAAAACACACAGACAGGGACTTATCACTTCAAACATCAAGCAATTATCCACTAGGCTATTAAGCCCATAAGAAGCATCTTTTATGCGATAAGTATCGGTGATCATTTTGTTTTTAGGTTAATCTGCCAGAATAGCCTGAACATTTAGGTCCTACATAGTCAGTCAAAGGAAGATGTAAATTAACCTGAGAATAAATTAATAACTGAGATCAAGTGCATACGAGGTGGGTCTAGTGACATAGTAACCATTTCCTTGGTGTTCCAAACGATGGGTACAGGATTCCAGTCTCATTAGGAATAATTCCACTCACTGGACACATCCAGGCACTGAGTTTTAAATGGGATGAAATTCGAACTCTGGATTTCAATGTAAGTCACGATCAACCAAAATGAAAAAGTCAAGTTGATAAGTTAGTTGAATAGATCATATTTAGGAAATAAAACTGCATATAAACGTTGATATAAGGATAAAACTTGGGCAGTGTAGTAGAGCATAATTCCATTGTAGTTAAAATTTTATTTTGATAAAAATCACACAGTGTTATACAGTAATAATTACTGATTAGGTTTCGAGCAAAAATTGTTGCTCATAATCATATCAAGAAACTCACATAACTTCCTTGCTTCGTTCATCAAAATAAAAGTTTATCCATAATGGAATTAAACATATAACTAGTCTATACCAATGCTGTTAAAACTATTTGCTTTCCTTGAAAACTAGTTTAATGTGTCTGGTCCTTTGTTTGATACAGATTGAATTCTATCAATCAAGTTTCCAATGTGGTACCGTCTCTGACTGCAGCAATGGATGATGCGAATTCGAATCTGAGAAGGGAAATGAGTTCCTCCAAGGATACAGATACAGCTTATTGACGATTACCAACTAACGCGAAACCTTGGTCCAGCAAGGCTTTTTGCCAATAGCTTATTTGAAATAAACTTTGCAATGTATGCATCAATTTAGGTTCCTATAATTTGATATAGTACATATGAAAGTAGAGATGGGAAAAGGAAGGAAATTACAACTGATTGAAAGGTACCAGATATAAACGGTTAGATGAGAACTAATGAGGAATTTCAGAATCTGTATCACAATCACAAGGGATGATTGCGTTTACTCCATTGATAACGATTATGAGGCATGTTACTTACACTCTCTCCAACTATCGGTTTTCAGTAAGGCAGTCTATGGCTCCTTACGTAGCTCGGATCTGCTGTCAAAAACACCATGTATTTCTGTTATTGTTTCTCAGCTAATTATTCTTAGCTGTTTTCCAAATTAATCCTATTTCAGGCAACCATGCCAGTGAAAGAAGGTGGTGGCTAAGCATGTGTAACATACGTCTTAGCCATCTCAGTAAACGAAGCTTCTGATCCTTCTCTAGCACTCTGCTCTTACTAACTGTAATGTACTACCTAATACGAGGGAATAATTGCAAATACTACTGGTCAACAACTGCTAATCTGCTTATGTCTTTCATTTGATGAAATGGTTTTGTTTCACAGCTTTATGGTAGAACAAGATGAATTTTTATGTATTACAAACGGTTTAAAGATATAGACGGCCGGATATACTGTACCATAACAGTTTATACTTTTAATTTAATAAAATAAATATTGCTACTTTTTAAACGGTTGCTTCCATTTTAGAATTATTATTTTTATTGCCACCAACAATGTCATCAGAAGGTAACTAGACAGTTAAAATAAAAAAGACAGTTTGTTAAGTTGTTGTTTACGGTTTTGAAGTCTTACAAGTGTTGTACAAAAAACTGTTTGTTTCTAAAAAAGTTTTTTTAATGTTGCTATTTTTTTCTCGAAGATAAATGTTTGGATTATCCATCACTGACTGATTGTTAAGTATTGGTGTGTTTGAAATAAGGAAATTATCTGATCGGTGATCACTGTGAACATTTCTGACATATACATCCAATATACAACAGGTGACTGGTTGAAGAGTCCCCTTTAAGCTTCATGAATAGATGCTACCAAATATATAGTTTATTATTATTATTTTATCCTTTAATTCCTAGAGGAACATAGGGCTTCAGCTGCGCACCTCCATTACCTTCTATTTTCCCCCAACTTTTTCACCCCGCTCCAAGTCTGCCCACATGCTTTCATCTCCTCCTCGCATGACCTCCACCAAGTCACCCTTGCATTGATGACCAACTCGCCGCTTCTCTTTCGGGTTTCACTCGACCGATGGCTTGTCTAGTGATGTCACTTGATGGTTTCCTCAGGGTATGGCCAATCCATCTTCATTTCTTCCTGCATATTTGTTTCACAATCGGTTCCTGCTGAGTTGGTTCGCTCCCAGAGATCCGTCTCTGTTGCTGATCTTTTCTGGCCATCTGATCTTGAGTGGTATTGAGCGAAGACAACTGTTGATGAAGGTCTGGAGTTTGTTTGAGATGCTCTTTATGACTCTCCAAGTCTCTGATCCGTATAGAAGCACTGACTTTACATTGGAGTTGAAAATCCGGATCTTATTTTTGATGCTGAGTGCTGTTGAGCTCCACACAGACTTAAGAGTAATGAAAGCTTGTCTTGCTTTTCCGATTCTGGCTTTGATATCCTCGTCAGCTCCGTTCGCCTGTAGTTGAAACGATGCTTCCCAGGTAGGTGAAGGAGGTTGTTTCTTTCAGGTTCCTCCCATTTATGCAGGCTGATTGTTGTCTGTTGTTGTTATTGTTGCTGCTGTTGGTGTTGGTCAGGAATCTTCATCACTTCTGCTTTCTCTATGTTCACCTGAAGTCCTATCTTTGATGCTTCTTCTATCGCCAACTTGTTGCTTTTCACTTGTATATCTTCCAGTTTGTGGGAAATCCGACATATATCATCGGCCAAGTCCAGATCCTCCAAGTTTTTTGTGTGAGTCCATTTTATGGCTGTTTCCTCATTGCCCGTTGTCTATCGCATTATCCAATCTGCAATCAGGAAAATCACTGGTGATAGTAGGCAGCCTTGTCTCACTCCCGTCTTACTTCAAAGGCTTCCGTAAGTGAAATATATAGTAAGATAAATCAACCATTACTTTGCACGCACACACTTTTTCAACTGGGTAATTATAGTGAACTTTACGATTCCATCTATCTCAGAAATCGGTGATGGTTGATGTAGTCACCTTTTTAGATGATAATTTATTCAAATCCTTATAGTATGAGTGATCACTAAGGTCTAACCAGTCGGTTGTTAGTTAAAATACTCGGCAATAATAATGGCTGGCGGTAGTGCTTAAAATCGTGAATCGTCAGAAGTTACAATTCATTAGACGTTAGATTTTGACTCAATTATTCACTGGTCAATGGGGTCTCTACCTACCCCATAGGTCGTTGATTCAATCCTTGGCAGGATCATATATGCACACCACTACTACTTGGACAAGATATCTGTTCAATACACCCAATATCAATGCACTCACTATATAACTTGAAATCAGTCAAATCTGTGAAAGCCAGTGCTTGAAAGTAGGCTTTACGATTAGTTTATTACTATTACCCATAGTTCCGAGTGAAACATAAGACATCTCAGTCGCAAATCTCCATTTCATCCTGTTCTCTGGATGATTAGTTAACTGCTTCTTATAGGACAAAACAGTTAGAATTTTTAGTAAGACGAATGAAAAGAGAAGGCTGAGTGGTTTCAACATTTTTTTCTCATGACTTTCTAACTAATTCAAATCAATGTGAAATAAATATTTGTTTGGTTACAAAACTTAATCATGAACTGACATCGGTTAGAGAACCATTGTAAAGCCAGCAAGGAGTACTGGAAAGTTGTTTCGTCCTAATCTGGGACTCCTTATCAATACGCACCCACCGGGGCTCGAACCAGGGACCCTCTGGTTACAAGGCCAGCTTGTAGTTCATTAAAACCTCTGGGACACGATCCAATGGCTCATGAATTCTAAATTCTACCAATTCACAACATAGCGCGATCCCCAGCCAACGTCTTCGGCGATTATTTGTTTTCACACCCGACCTGCTTCCCCCTACTGGTCACGACGTCCCGCTAGAACTAGGTCGAAACAGCTGTCCAGTACTCTCTGGCAGGTTTTCCAAAGGTTCTCTAACTGATGTCAGCTCATGATGAAATCCTCCAACCAATCAAACAAAATCCTTACAAAACCAACACTTGAAAATAAATATTTCTCCTCTTTTTATTCAACAATTTAATATGTCTTCTTTTACATTTCAGAGTTCACAGTGACAAATATAATAACTATAGGTAATTTGTAAATTAATAACGACAACAATAATACTAATCACCTATTCTTGATAGAATTTCCAATGACAGATTCAGTGAATGTTTCTCGTGTACCAGCTATCACCTCGTCATCTTCAGCTGCTGATAATGTTCCTTCTACTACTACTACTACTTCAGTGAAAAGTGAACTAATTCCTAAGAAAGGATATATCGTAGCTATTGATCAAGGCACAAGCAGTTCTAGAGTAATTGTATTCTCTACTGAAAATGGTGAAATTGTAACAATGCATCAAATACCAGTATCTCAGTCATATCCATCACCTGGATGGATTGAAATGAATGCCAATGAAATATACAACACAATATTAGAATGTTTAAACAAGTGTGCAGAACAACTAAAAGTAAATAATAAAAATGTAAAAGTAAGTACACACAAAAAAGAAACAGACGGTTAGTAGTTATTCATTGATTTCCCTTCTTCTTCTTCTTGCGTTTTTATGTTTGTATTTATGTAGTGAGAAAAAGTGTCAGAGGTTTGAAGATCACTGGTAGGAAGCCGTCAACTATTATTTTGTACTGTTAGGCAGATGTCGGCAGAGCGTTATCTGAAATCTCTACATAGAATGTACTTCATACTGGAACTATACGAGATAACTTAAGGCTGGCAGATTATTACCACTACCAGCGGGGTTAAGAGGGTCAAGCTTAGCTAAGGGAACATCGGATAAGTAATCTGGCGGATCGCTGGTTCTAGTGGCGCCCTCAGTCACCACCCAGTACATCGAAATGTTGTTTTTAGATGGTTGGGCAAGACAGTTGGCAAGGAGCCTTCGACATAGACTTCGTGCTAGTTGGCTCTCGTCAACAAGGTGTATCTGCAGCCTTGAAGGGACTCATGTCCCTTCTGAGATTCGAACTCGTGTAGCTCAGTGGTCAGTCGCAATCCGAAATACCTTAGTGGTAACGTCTCTGACTGCAACACTGGTTGACACGAGTTAAAACCTCAAGAGGCACATTAGTTCCTTCAAGGCTGTAGATGCGCCTTGCTGATGGGTGATAATGAGCATGAAAGCTTTCTGCCGACTCCTTCCGACCATCCAATAACAAGAATTCTGAGTATGCTGTGATGGAGAAACATCTAGCATTGTGATCACATTGCAAACTTGACTGACAGAATTCAGGCTTCAGCAAACAAAAGACCAGACACACGACACTAGGTCGTATCCAATCAAAACAGTAAATTGTTCAAATAAGTAATATTTAACATGAGTTTATTGGTAGTGATATTTGTTATTACTATGATAATATTCACTTAATCTTCGTAAGTACCAGTGTTTATCGATTATGTAGTTGAGTGCATTGAATAAATAAATTGACTTCAAATTAAATAGTTTCTCCAGTGCATGAGCAATATTGAAAAACAAACGTGTCAGTTTAATTTTGAATTCAGTTTTTTGAACAATAAAAAGTTGCTTCAACTTTTCGAGACAACGTCTACTCTTCTTGTGACTTACTACTTACTGCTGGCACTCTGAGGGGAACATAGAGCTTTAGCAGCGCATATCCAGTACAGTCATGTCTCGCTCTCTTATCGTTTTCAGACGAATCCCCAACTGCCTACAAGATTTCACCTCCTTTTAACATCACCTTCTCTGTGTTAGCCCCAGGCACCTAACATGTCGCTTCTCATTCAGTTTTCGCTCAATGGCTTGATATATATAATGACACTTGAAGGTCTCCTCAGCATATGTGTTCAATCCATCTCTTTTTCCTTCAGTGTATTTTTCAGAGGATGGGTTGTTCGTTGATTTATTGCCTGAGAGAATTACCTTTTGCTTATCCTTTCTGGCTTGTTACCTGATCTTCATTGTTGGCGGAAGGTAGCCAGTTGGAAAAGTCTCATGTGAAATGCGCATCAAGTCTCTGAACCATATGGAAGCCCTGACTTGTAAATTATTTCTTGTTCTAAGTGATATAAATCTTCACAATCATATCAGAATAATGGATGCCTGTCTTACTTTCCTGACGTGATCCTGGCCGCCTCTGGCATGTTCATTCACGTTTCCTATAGTTGAGGCGATGCTGCCTTCGCCTGTAAAGTTAGAGAGATGCCTTCCTCTAGATTTTTTCATTGACAGTGATTGGTTTTATATGTCCAAACCAAGTTCACTTTTAATGGTTTGAGAAAATTTGAGCATTGGGTATATGACATTCATTATAATAAAGGTTTTCTTATATTTCCCAATGAATGAAAAACATCAGCGCAAAAATTTCAGTTGTTTCAAGTCTTCTTAGACGAGCACACTCTCTGATAACGGATGAGCAAGAAAAAGAAATATCAAACATTACTGAAACTCTCAAGCAAAACAGATACCCGAGGAACTGCATCAACAAAATCAACACAGACATTAAGTATGGCAGAAAACGCATTCCGAAAACATAGACCTCAACAGTCGCCATTCCATATAGAGCAGAGACGTCAGACGATATCAGAAGAGTACTGAGTAGTCAGCTCGACATTAGAGTTTTCTTCAAAAACATCAGACACACTTCAAAGTAATCTTGTTCATATAGAAGACCAAATCCCGAAAGATTCGCTATCTATTCGTGTCTATAAAATAAAATGCTTAGAATGTGATGCGATCTACATCGGACAAACATCTCGAGAAATCAAAATCAGAAGAAATGAACACCGTAGAGCTTCTCTTCCACCACCGAAAAATCCAGTTGAACTAGAGGAACTTGAAAAATCATCAGCCATAGGTCTACCAGCTATAGAATCAGACCACAAAATTGATTTTGACAATATTGAAATAATGCAGAAAAACTTCAGAAATCACAAAGAACGTCTAATATCAGAATCACTTCATATCAAGTGGAATCCAAATTGTCTGAATAGGAATGATGGACTAAAACAGAATCTGACGTGGTTACAACACCTACCCCCCATGATGTGACAAAATCAACACAAATGTGATAAGCAAACTCACTATGTAAACACATACTACTTTTGTAATTTTACACACTGATCAAATCCAGCAATCTACACTTGATTTTGTTATCTTTACCAACTGACCAACTTGACAACAAAAAACGACCCCAGACAGACGAACAATGATCAAGTTAGTAAGCTTTATTTTTATATCATAACAGACGTACTATTACCTTTTTATTTGGTTTAGTGATCTTCATTACTATTTTGACTTTCTATATGTTCCTTTAACTTGACCTAAGTCTATTTTCCCACCCCCTAACTCTTTGTTGTATATATATATGCTGAGATTTTGTAAATTCTGGTTCATAATAATGCTTTGATAAAGCTATTAGTATTAAATAGCGAAACGTCAGTAAAAACAATATTATTCATTGGGAAATACAAAAACCTTTATTATAATGGATAGTGATTGGTGTTTGTTGTTGCCGTCTACCTTCTCTATATTCATTTGAATCCCTGTCTTTGTTGGCTCCACTGTGAAACTGCTGGTTTTTGCTTGTAGACCTTCTAGTTTGTACGACATGAGACATAAATGATCCACAAAATTCAGGTCTCTTGGGTGTTGTTTTGCCGGTTCAGCGTATACCTTTCTTCCTATCCATTCAGTCTACCGCATAATCCATTCCACCACATTTACGTATATCATGGTTGACAGTAGGTAGACTTGTCATACTTCTGTCTTCAATTAGAATGCTTCGGTAAGTTTTCCGTAGTGAATCACTTGAATGTGGTACTATTATGTAGCCGCTAAATGAGGTTTACAGATATTCACTGAAAAAAATGTTACTTGAACACGGAGGAAATTTTCGCTTCACGATGAAATCATTGACTGTACTGTGATAATGATTTTTCTTAGAGAACAAACCGATTGCGATGTTCATAGCCAAGATAGAAGTTGAGTGAATTTATTGTGAATGTATAACTGCATTTATCTAGATCATTAATACTAATTATTGTTTTACTAGGCCATACTGAAGTTTGTAAATCGGTTGTATAATTTAGAATTATGATCGTCAGCTTCCAGGGACTTTTGCTGCAGACGCATAAAAAACAAACACTATCTACTACAACTCTGAATCGATCAATGTGCAGTGTAAAACAAGTGACAATGTCAACTTACGTGACAGTATCATTCAAAGGGACTGAAATAATATTAGACTGTTAGAGTTAAGCCTCAGGAAGCCCTTAACCTTGGCTTCACCCTTGTTAGCACTCTTTGGAAGTGTTTATCTTCAACCCTCGAAGACCTAATATCCCCATTGAAATCCGAACCCGTGTCACTCAGTGCTGAAGTTAAGTACGTCACCACTGAGTTGTTTAGGTCTGATGATTTCTTTTAACTTTCTGATATCAATTCAGACTGCTACTTGATAGCCAGTCGTCTAGCTTGGAGACTGGTGGAATTCAGTCTGCATCTACACCAAGGACTAAATTTGACTGTGCTTATTTCCCGGTGACCAATCAATTTATGAACTCAAGTTAAATACCGTGTTGTAATATACTACATATTGATATGAATAGTTTGAAATCCCTTATGATAAATGACTACTAGCCAGAACAAAGTGATCCAAATCTTTGACGGTTATTTTACTATTTTGTTTTTCAATGTATTTCACATAGGCAATCTTACCAATCCTTGTATGATGATATTTAAAAGAAAACAAATCACGTGAACTATCCTGTCTCCGGTTCGATAAAATATGTAGCATATTCACATCCTACCATTTTTCGTAAACAACATTCCTTATGATAACCTTGAAATAACAATATGGCGACTGATTAGTGAAGTATAGGCACAACAAGTAGTTTACGAAAAACAACTTGAATAATAATAACCTAGATTAAATAATAATAATAACTGATGTTTGTCAAGCTTAATTCTTATTTTTATGTGCGGAAATGATAAGTAATCAGCTGGATGAAATATTATATATATGATAATCGATTTTACAGGTGATTGGTGCTTGGATGCGTCCCACCTCTTTGTTTACGGAAGTCGGCATACCTCAAAGTGATGATGTACTTTCGCCATGTGCTTTTTATTTCTTACTGCATGACTTATTGTTTTCTTTAAAAGCGAGTTTCATTAGGTATGCTGATGTTCTAACAATTTCTACTCCAGTTGTTGTTGCTGCACTAGATTGCTGTGATGTGAACAGTTTCTTATCTGAGGTTAACCAATGGTCTTTTTTAAATGATATTAAGCTGAACCCCCTTTAAGTGTCAGACTGTGAATTTTACTTAACGCGTGAACAAGGCTTGAGTGGACTGTTCCAGCCCCATGATTCTTGTAGTATAAGAGGCACTGTGACAGGAAATAAATCAAGCGCTGCCTATTTTCGTATCTGTCTCTTTTCCAATCTTTGTTAAACGTTTAATATCTTCTGGATTTCTAAGAAAATCTTTCGTTCAACTTCATACATAAGGGAGTGAAGACTTTCTGGCTTAACTCAACCTCTTCTTTTAAGATGTAGTGATTCGTGTATGCTATTCATTCTTGCTCACTTTTACCCCTTATTCCTCCTTAGGATTCTCAAAACATCACACAATACTCTCGAGCATAGTATAGCAAATGGTGCACCAGATATCGCAGCTGTGTAAAGCATTAGTCAAACACCTTTAAACAGCCGATTGCGACATTAGAAATGGTCACAGTGTTTATTTAAACACTCAATACAAAATCGCTGAAGACCGCGTCGTTTGTTTTGTAGTATTCAACAGTTTCAGCATACAAACATAAACATATGTTTTATTTGGAATCTAGCTGTATATGGTAAGGTGTCCTTTCTAAGTTTCAAATTAAAAATTATTGACATTATCGAATAAAAATTCAAAATACAAAGTGGGCCAGTGATTCAAACAGTCAATTTTCAACAGATAAGTTGCAAATTTCAAATCTCGCCAAATATATTGAAGTTTGAAAGGACAAATTATATGATTCATCGTCTATCACACAGATGCGTGCATCGGTGGCACAGTGGTTAAGACCGGCCATGTACATGGTCCGGGTTTCGATCCCCTGCCGACGCACACCTGATATCGATGGTCAGTCTACAAAATTTGGGCTACCGATATCACATGTTAAAAATTCCATACCTGTCTCGAAAAATACGGTGTGGAACCAAGCTGAAATAAAAAAAAAGAAGTGAATGAAAATTTATCAGGGTATTGAGGTAAACTGGTGTAGTTAATTCATTTTGCTAACTTCAGGCCACCCTTGAAGGATGTTTTTCATTCGTTTGCCTCCCGAGTGGAATATAGGGCTTCAAGCTTTATGCTTTAAAGTCACCATAGCGGTGATATTGTTTTTAAGGTGTGGGGATGCTAGCCCTACGCACAATCTCCCCCTCATTTTTCCCAGGATCACTACTAGTCAGGCGAATTTTGTGAGTGTTTCACTCGGGAATCGAATCCAAGACCACAAGCGTGGTTGGTAGGCATCCAACCTCTGAACCACCTACTCATCTTTGAAGGATGGCATATATTATTGACTGATATGAGTATATTTGGAAATAAGTCGATTAGTAATGCTTGCTAAACATGTGATCTAAACACCGGGTTTCTCTTAGTTTCTCTTGTTCGAGAATGAGCACAACACATCGATGTATCTACACTGACTTGACTTGGACAATGAAATCACTTGAAACCATGTGAATTTTAACTGACCTAATACAGTAGTCCCTTGCAAAGAATACAATTAGACTTGAAATTTCACCAACATATACAACTTACTTGATTCAAATGTATCCTGGATTTAAAAATTCACTGCTAAGGGTGAGATCTACAAATCACTGAATCCTAATCACTTTGTCCTGTTAAGATCAAAAATAACAAATGTTCATATATTCTAAGATGAACTGTACACATTCTGAAATTTTTGTAACGACTTACAATTGAAGGTGAAATGATAAAACGCGGTTTCCGAAAGAATTTGAATCAAGGGGAGGGTAGGATAGGAATTACTGGCATCAGGCTAATATCATGTCAGATAACAATCCTTTATGTTGATTAAACCTCCATTTAATTCGAAGTATCACACACACAGTTATTATGTGGGGTGCATGCAGTTTTATTCAGCTTTCCTTTAAAGATTCACTCCACTAGATCTTCTTCTGGTAAGTTAGAAGAAAAGAAGTTGGCTGTCGATTTAACTCTGGACTATCTGAAATAGTCTTGCACTGACAAACTAATATAGTATAACTATCTTATCTGTATATATACGCAAAAGTTTACCCATAGCGTTCAAAGAATCACTTTATTTTTATACACTTATCAATACAGTAAATAGTATTGATGCAATTCCTGAAAATAGCCTTATGGGAAAAATCAGTCTATTAAAACATCTGACTTCAAATTATCGATTTATCCAGTTTGAAAGAGATGAAATTTCACCACAGTTCCCTTTGGAAACAAATCACCGTATGTGATCTGCTTACCGACAAAAATCTTAATCAAGAAAGCAAGCAGAATGGCATAAAATTAAATATACTACTTAGTGACTAAGATGAGTTATGGTATACCAACCATATCAACCAATAATACTTATTTGCTAACCAGGTTATCAAGGTTATCTAAACATCAGATTTCCATTTCGTTCATTTATGGCTGTTGGCTCTCTGAGCTGGGTCAGATCGGGTGCATCAATGATGAAGTCGACCCCTAATGAGCGAAATGGTCGATGTTTAGTTCTCTTGGATATCCTGGTCAGCGAATAAGCGCTATTGGTTAATTTTCAATTAATCAGTATTATATAGTTTTATATAAACATCTGATTTTATTTAGATTTTATATGAATGTAGTTTTAACAGCATAGTATAAATTATTTGCACTTGTTATTATTGTTTCCTTTAATTCCTAGAGGAACATAGGGATTCAGCCGCACGTCTTTATTGAGTTTGGTTCTCTGCCAACGTTTTCACCTGCCTCCACGTCTGCCCAGATGCTTTCATCTCTTCTTCACATGACCTCCTCCACGTCACCCTCGCACTGACGATCAACTCGCCGCTTTCCATTCAGGTTTCACTCGAGTGATAGCTTGGCGTGTGATGCCACTTGATGGTTTTCTCAGAGTATGGTCAATCCACCTCCATTTCTTCCTGCATATTTGTCACACATAGGGTTACTGGTTGTGCTTATTGTACCTAAATATTTAGAATTATGTGGCAGTGAATAAACCAAGACCGATGAGAGTAGATCTAATGTTTGACTGAACCTGAAATAAATAGGGAGCCTTAATAAAATCATAAATTTTGCATTGGTTTCACATTTTGCGAATAACATCAGTCGCTGTGTATTACCGATGTTTTCTTCTGACGTTTTAAAGCTTCTCCTCTTCTTGTATTTCTTCCGTGGTGGTTTCTCTATTGAAGTATTATTTTTCACTGTTCCTCAGAAGAAGCTACTTTTTTTATTCCGTTTGCACTCCACGTGGAACACAGAGCTGCAGACTTCAGCTCTGAGATTTCAGTAGCAGTAGTATTTAATCTTTTACAAATTGTGATAGTTAAAATCATGCCCAACCTTCCCTCCTTACCGGGCTTACCACCATCGAAGCAAGGTTTAAGAGTCCGTTGGCTGGGAATCGAACCCCAAACCACATGAGGCGTGATTGGTGAGCATTTTACCACTGAACAACCAACAGTGAATGATGATGTACCCATTGAGACCCAAACCCAGCACTTATCGTTTCAAACGCCAGAGCGCTGTTCACCAACATTTTGGTTCACAAAGGTTCAGTCGGAAAGTCAAAACTGATTTAGAAACAAAGTACTTTCATATATCCTACTTTGGTGGAAAAATTAAAACTAAATTTAAAAAAAAATACAATTTATTCTATTTAGGATATTATCGGTGTTGGAATTACAAATCAACGTGAAACAACTATAGCATGGGATCGTTATACCGGGGAACCATTAGCTCCAGCTGTCGTTTGGTCTGATGCAAGAACAGCTGATGATGTAATCAGGTATACTCAACTAACACCAGACGGTTCACCGAATGCTTTTCAGGTAAACAAGAAAAAACAAAGGTAGAATAATGAATAGTTTTGAATAAGAAATAATTGAAAATTTATCTGAATATGTATTAGTAATGTTTTCATTTCTCTTTTAAAAATAATATCAGATAATAATAGATACTCACCGGTAACACTGGTTGGCGGTGGTGCTGTATACCGTGAGCTAACAGGAGCGTGAATCCATGAACAACTCTGTCCAAGCTGGATGTTTCAAAAGTCAATTAGAACATCTTGTAGGCTGAAAGTTATGAGTTCGACCCTCGAAGGGGCCATAAGCGTGTACTGCCGAAGAGTTTCAAGTCAGAACCAAACAGCCCTCCAGTATTCTCTGTTTTTCAGTGGCCTTATCAACTGATATGAGTATGTGGTCTGACTTGGAGAATCACCTACACAAGCGTGTTATTTCAGCCTAACACATTTTGAATTAAAGAAAAAGTATGTTTGATACAAACGGGAAGATTCTACTTTTATCAACCACAAGTTTAATAAAAACGACATTGACAAAACAGTTGGTATTGGAGATCTTATGAGCTATTATTATTGTTCCCTTGGGTTCCTACTGGAACATAGGGCTTCAACAGCACGTCTCCACTTGCCGCTTCTGTCTTCCTTCTGTTGTACTTTTCACCTGCATCCATGTTAGTCCATACTCTTTCAACTCCTCTTCACACGGCCTCCTCCATGTCACCCTCACACCGACGTCCCACTCGCCGCTTCCCTTTCGGGTTCCACTCGAGCGATGTCACTTAGCGGCCTCCTCAGCCAGTGTCCAATCCATCTTCATTTTTTCCTGCATATTTTTTGGGCGATTGCCTCTTGTTTTGTTTTGTTTGTTCCCACAGTTTCTTGTTGGTGATTCTTTCCTGCTCGGCCATCTCATCTTCAGTATAAAGCCAGCGAAGACAGTTGATGTTGATAAAGGTCTGCAACAGGCCGCTGGAAATATTCATTGTGATCCGGCTGCCAAGTTTCTGATCCGTATAGAAGAAATGACTTGACGTTTGTATTGAAAATCCGACCAAATTTTGTTGTTGATGCTGGCTGAGTGACGAAGATTTCCAGATTGGTTTCAGGTTGGTTGATGAATGTGTTTCTCGCCTCCCCGATTCCCGATTTGAAATCCTCGTCCGTTCCTCCTGTAGTTGAGACAATGCTCCCTTCCACTGATGGTGATTGGTTGCTGGCCGGATATTGCTGCTGTTGTTGTTGGTTGGTTGTTTTCATCACCTCCGTCTTGTCGATGTTCACTTGGGGTCCTGTCTTCGCCGCCTGCTTCTTCGACCAGTTTGTCGATTTTCGCTTGTAAGTTTTCGATTTTGTGTGACATCAAACATAAATCATCCACGCTCGAAATCCAGGTCTTCTAGGTCTTTTACGTCAGTCCAGGATATCCCTGTCTGCTCGTTTCCCACTGTCTGACGCATAATCCAGTCCACCATAATTAGGAATATCATTGGTGATAATAGGCAGGTACCCTTGTCTTACTCCTGTGTTTACTCCAAACTCCTCGCTGAGTTTTCAGTTGTGGATCACATGACATGTGCCGTTGTCATACAACTGTTGAATAATAAGGTTGATGAATATTTGGGGCACTGTACGCCGTAGTACTCGAGTAGTTTCCAAATTACTTCACATTCAACGCTGTCTGTCAAAGGCCTTTTCAAAGTCTATAAAGTTGAGGTACAGGTTTGATTGCCATTCCATGCTTTGTTCTGTGATGAAGATGCGTAGAGTTGCAATTCGGTCAGTATATGATTTGCCTTTCCTGAATCCAGCTTGTTCTGGTCGGAGTTCTGTATACAGTGCGTCCTTTATTCTCTCCAGGATGATGCGAATCAGAATTTTACTTGGCGTCGACAGGAGCATGATTCCTCGCCAGTTCTTGCAGAGTGAGGCATAAGTCACCCTTCTTTGGTAGTTTCACGAAGTAACCTTTCCTCCAGTCGGTAGGCACATTTCCCTCCTTCCAAACCTTTTGCAATAATGGAGTCAGTATATCTGCTATCGTCTCTGGATCTGCTTTCAGTGCTTCAGGGGGTATTCCATCTGGTCCAGCTGCTTTTCCAGCTTTCAGAAGCTTGACTGCATCCAAGACTTCAGTTTTCGTTGGAGGATTGGTGTTAACTGGCAGTTGTGTGTGTACGTGCTGTTGTTGGTATTTCTGGACGTGTTGCAGGTGGTGCTCGGTTCTGGAGTCCTTTGGAGTGATCCACTCATTGTTTAATCTGTCTTTCTTCCTTAGTAATTGGGTTCCATTAGCTGTCTTTTATAGATTTCACTTGTGTTGATTTCCTCCCGGATACAGAGTTGGTTATCTGAGTTAAGGAAGTGATAAATATGACCAATTCTTTGCCACTATGAGTTCACAGAAATATCCTATTATTGTCTCTGACTACAACAGTGGGTGACACGGGTTCGAATCTTAGGAAGGATATGAATTCCTTGAAGGTTACAGTTACGCCTAGCTGATGAGTGAAAACTAGCACAAAACCTATATCCGTCAAGGCTTTCTGCTGATTGTCTCCAACCATCTAATAGCCCAATTTTATATTTTATGATTTCTGAAATGAGTTATATGAATAATTAGAAACTGAGTGGGTTGATTTTTTTTATTACTGACTATCGTTCACCTTTCTCAGTGAATCGTAAATAAACTAACATTGTTCTTCGCTATACAGACACAACTTAAAAAAGTCTTTTCAAACAGTCAGTCTCTGACTGACCTCAGGAAGTTGTCCTATTGGCTCTATGGCAAAGCAACACTGTTACTCTTCCTGTTTCTAGCATTTCAAGAATTAATCATCTCCCGTAATATGGGCAAGGGGGAAGTAATAACCACACATGCACTCATATAAGTACTCAAAGCTTTTAGTTCATTGTTCCTCTTAAGAAAAAAAGTTACTTAGAATGGGTAATACATATATCGATTACTTAAGTCAGTGAGAATCGAAGTCCTTTTGAACTGGTCTACCTTGCTTATATAGAAATTCACCACTTAATTCAAATTAAAATGAGTTGAACTGAATTTTCAACTTAGAATGTTGCACAGAAATGCAGCATTTCAAGCTACCTCACTTCATAAAAGCACAGAAAACGATGATAAACGAATTCACAGCTAAAGGACTAATTACAGAGTTGAATAATTAGAATCTAAGGGATAGGGGAGATGAAAGTGACCTAAATACCGTATGGCTGTTTCGTCCATCTGGAGCCCAGTTCATCAGTGGTGCACTCGATTTGACTTAGCTCAAAGTGAATTTCTACATCTGATTAACTGTAGAACTTCAGCTTGACAGGCAATTAACAGTCATTAAGGACAGAAAAACCAAACTCACAATTTCTTTGAACACAACCATTCAGCAGTTAAATGATTGAAAACAGGCTAGATAACAGCAGGAATTTTTATTAAAAACAAAAATACCCTGACCCCCTTTTATTTTGGTACAATGCAGCTTTTGTAACTTTTATTGTAGTCAGTGAAGGTATTAGTGGTCATTTCATCCAAGAAATATGATGTCTATTGTGTAAAATGTAAAACTTTATGGAGAATCATGAAATAAGTGTTATTTGTAATCAGCAACAAAACCTCTTCAACCGTATTACATAATTTATGTAATAACAGTTGGAATTTCGATTCCTGTCACGGATTAATATCAGTGGTGATGTATGTGTCATAATGAAGTGTAAAGTGTTCAGTAAAGAAGGAAGGTCAATCGGTAATGTAGCGAAGTTGTATCGAACTAGATGCCTAGCCGGGACATACTTTATACATGTTAAAGACACCCTCAATAGGTATTATTAAGTAAATCAGAAAAAATTTGTAAAAGAGTTAGAGCATGTTACTTAAGACGGCATGTTATCAATTAATGTTGTCTCTAATTATTGGAGGCAATCAGCAGAAAGCCTTGGCGGACCTAGGCTTCGTGCTTGCTGGCACTCGTCAGAAAGGTGTATCTGCAACCTTGAAGGAACTCATCCCCCTTCTGAGATTCAAACCTGTGTCATCCAGTGCTGCAGTCAGAGACGTCACCCCAGAGCTATTCGGGCTCGCGGTTGACCTCCTGTAGGACTTCATTGTGTACTTTAGATTGGACACTAACAAGCGTCACGTCCCTAGTCCTTTTTTTTCCTACAGACTGAATTCTATCAGCTGAGTTTACAATGTCTCTGACTGCAGCACTAGGTGACACGAGTTCGAATCTCAGGGGGTACATGAGTTCCTTCAAGATTGCAGATGAGCCTTACTGACTGGTGAGTGCCAACTAGCAGGAAACCAAGTTTTGAAAAGGCTTCCGGATGACTGCCTCCTACCATCTTATATCAATAATCTTGAGTGTACCGTGGTGATGAGCCACCTAAAATGGTGGCCACACTGAACACTTGACTGACAGAATTCAGTCCTCACTAAACAAAGGACTAATCACATGGTACTAGTTAGTGTCCAATCAAAAATAGTCTATGATCGTTAATTTGATCAGAAAATCTTCCGTAGAGTAAAAGCTTTCAGCATATATGTTTATATGTGACCACCTATACTTTATCGATTGATGAATATTCTTCAGGCATTGGGATTATAATGAGACTCCTCCGGATCGCAACAGACATCTTCTATTTAACCACTGTGTGTGAACCAGATTTTGCTTTCTTTTTCCCGCTACAAGCTTGTATATACATACTTTTTTTTATTTTGTGTTTCTCTAGCAAACAACAGGTCTACCGATACACAGTTACTTTTCAGCCCTGAAAATGAGTTGGTTATTAGATAATGTTGATAAAGTGAAATTAGCTAATCAAGAGAATCGTTTATTATTTGGAACAGTTGACAGTTGGTTAATCTGGAAGTTAACTAATCATCAGTGTCATATTACTGATGTTACTAATGCTAGTCGTACATTATTATTTAATTTGAATACATTACAATGGGATAATAATTTATGCCAGTAAGTTGATTTTGTCCCTTTTATTTTTACCTTGCTTATTTTCACAATTTAGTTTATAAGGATTTGATTTGTTTCAGGTTTGATTACAGATTGATGTCAATTAGAGGACGATTTGAGAACCAATGACTACTGGCCAGCTGTCACGTCCTAGTTCTAGACTCTTCAGTTGTAAACATCCACCGAGCTTTGAACCCATGTTAAAAGGCTAGCCCGTAGACAACTCACTCACCGGTACCCAACCCAATGAGCCATGAATTCTAAATTCTGCCAATTCGCAATATATAGCTCAACCTTCGGACAATAACATCGGCGAACAATGGCCCTCTTCGTCCTGTAGCCAGTTACTGGCGAGCATCAGATTATTTTTTTAAGAGTTATTCCACTGAGATTTGATTTATTTCAAGTTTGATCACGGATTGATGTCAGTTGCAAGTTGGAATTCATGTTGCATTGGAAGTGGTCTCAGTGGCAGAATAGTCTGAGAGATTACCTTGTTACTTTAAGGTCCTGGGTTCGAACCCCGGGGGATGCTCCTTTTTAAAGAGTCCCAAAATAGAGCTACATAGCTGTCCACTACTCCCTGGTTCTACAGTATTTCTCTATATTACACTAATTTATGATAAAACTTGAAACCTTCCTCATTTCAAATGATTTCGTGTTACGACGAAAGCAATCTTGTTGTATACAGTAATGAATTATTAATTTTGTGTTAGTACAGATATAACTTCACACTTCTTGTTTTATTCCTTTGTGTTCCTAGTAAAATACAGGGATCCAGGTATGAACCCTTGAAGTTTCAGTAGTGGTAGTGTTTTTCTTACCAGGTGGCTTGTCAGCCTTCCATCAGATTTCCCCTCTTTTCTTCATATTAAACAGTTCATCATTATTATCCCCTGGGTTACTAGTTTACTACTGGCCTTCAACAGCACTTCCCAACTGCACTCCATTCTCTGCTTTCACTTTCAGCTAGCTCCACGAGCGGTTAATAGCTCTCATTCCCTCCTCGCACTATGTCCTATATATCAGCCTCAGACACCCAACTCGTCACTTCCCATTCGGGTTCTGATCAAGGACCTGGTGCATGATGCAACTCAGTGTATGTTAATTCCATCTTCTTCTGCAGGTTTGTTAGGTGTTAGGTACTTCGTTCGTTAGCTTCCAGAGTTCCTTGGGACTCATCCTTTCCAACTGCCTGCCCGGTCTTTGGTACAGAACGAAAGGTAGCTGCTGGTGAAACTATGCAGCCTGTTGGTAATGCTTTTGATGACGCGTGTATGAAGTCTCCGAACGACATAATGATGAAATGATTTCAGATAAGTGTTGAAGACTCGAATTTTCTTCCATGATGATGAGTGCAGCATATTTCTACACTGATTTCAAATTACTGAAGGTATGTTTTACTCCTATAGTCCATCCTTTGAGAATAGTCATCCTTGCCACCTGTAGTTGAAACGATGCTACCTATGGCAGGTAAAAAGAAATGACTACTTTGTTTCGATTTCTGCTGTTGATGGTGATTGCTGTTTCTGGTTGTTCGGTGTCTTCATCGTCAGCATGAACTGACTGTCGAATGTTCAATAGTCTAACCAATTTGTTTGTTGTAATAAGTTTTAGGAGTTTTTACTTATGATTTATTCTAATTTTGAATTTTTTTTATCCAGAATAATATTGTTCTCCATATTGTTTTCCTTTAAAATGTGTTTTTCATTACAGATTTTTTCATATCAATCCAAATTCACTTCCAAAAATTTTATCTTCCTCTGAATATATTGGAATAATTCAAGATAATAAATGTCTTATGAAGGATATTTCAATCTATGGGATATTAGGTGATCAACAAGCCTCATTAGTTGCACAGACATGGACTTCATCAATGTCAGCTGATGATAGTTTATCAGAGGTGTCAGGTGTAAAAGTCACCTATGGGACTGGAGCATTTATGCTATGGAATATTGGCAGTCGACCGTATTTTTCAGATAAAGGCGTTCTAACTACAATCGCTTATCAATTAGGCTCAAATGAAAAACCACACTATGCTTTAGAGGTTAGACATAAAAGAAAAGGAATGTGAAATTATGATTTAAACATCTTTCGACAATATTGTTGCATAATTTTCAAAGTATGTACTTTTTTAATCTGAAAGGATTCGGATTATCCTAGTGCAGATTTCGTCACAAACTCATATAAGCTGAAGTATGATTGAAAAAACACAGAGCAACAAGCAGCTGTTTAGTATTAGCTTGGCGTTCGTTAGAAGTATTCATGTATGAGCTCAATAGAGATTGAAACTAGGACTTTCGGATTATGAAATAAACATGCCTTTTACGACGATAAGTGGTTGGAATTCAGTGGTACCATAATTCTGACCTTTATCACTTTTCAGCCTAGCGTTGCGACCAGACAGTATCATCAGTTAAGATCCGCTTCCCACTAAAAACAGTGAACCTTAGATGCCACGACATCTCAATGATATTCTAGACATATATCTAGAAGTGAGTCACTAATGTATACCAGCTCACAGATTCTTAGAAGTCAGGATTCAGGAAATTAACAAGCTCCCGGCTCGTGACCTGAAGACTTCCTTTCAGGTCCTAGTAAGTTCATGAATGCATTATGCTAAATTGTACCAAACTGGGATAAAATAGTCATCGTATACTTCATCGTATGTAAGGCGTCTTGAACTGATATTGGCCAGTGACGAAATCTACACCGAAATTATTGAAATCGATAAATGAAGAACAGAATATAGGGATTTATCTAGATCTGGTGTCACATACTTTGCGAAAAAACCCCATAAAAGACAAAGTTTATCTGACAAATGTAATGCATTTGTTCAATAAATTCCGGACAATCTGATGAAACAAATATTAGTCACGTGAATTTATATGAAAAAATGAAAGGTTAATCAAGATAAATGCAATTATAAGGCATTTAGAAATAAGAAGAGTAATAACACTGATACAAGGAAAAAGATTACTCATTGTGGTAGGGTATAATTCATTTAAAGATACAATTTTATTTTGATAAAATCACACAGTGTAGTATTTATTATTCAGTAATATTTACTGATAACGACTTTTCGAGCACAATTTATTACTGCCCATAGTCATATCAAGTTACTCACACAACTTTCTTGCTTCGTTTATATGCATGAGTATGATTTGATTAGACATCTGAATAAAATCAATGTAAGACTTGTGTGAAACTGAATGGGAGATAAAGTACATTCGGAATGAATATTAGTGTTTTACAAATAAAATACAAATATAAACTAATCATCGTATTTTGGCTATAAGATAATAAGATGGTGCATATTAATTGTGCAATTAGTTATAATAGTAGTAATGATAATAGTATTACTAATGGTTTTATCAATAATAAGGATGAAAAAGTGAGGCAATCTGTAATAACACGAATAATGAAGAAACAGCACGATTAAATAAACAAATGTTCAAGTGGAAGTAGTCGATAAAGGCTAGTAAAAACAAATGAACCGATTAAGTAATGCTAGACTGATTGTAAGGGAAGTAAATGAGATACTGATAGTAAATGAAACCTGAGACTCTGGCTGCACGTAAAAAGCCTCTATTTATTAAGTTACAGTTTAATGGTGACTTATCAAGTGAGATTCTATTCCGAAGACTTTCAAGGAGTATACAAAGAACATTTTACGCAGCACACCTATGTTTGTCATTCTCTAGCCGACGAATGATCGGGACGCAAACGAAGGATAAGCTAGATAGTTTTGCCACATCTATGTGCATTTATCAATTCAACTGCACCTATGGTGACAGTTATGTTGGGCTTACTACTAGACAGCTTAGCCAAAGTGTTAGTGAACATCTCCCATTATGGTTTGGCAATGCACAGACCAAAACAATCCATGGCTCAATTTTGTCACATTTAATTTATAGTGGTCATGTAGTCGAGAAAACGAGAGCTTTCAAAGTAATTCATCGTATCCCACAGAATCTTTCTAACAGACATCGATTCGTCTACTGCACACACAGCTGAGGCGATAGGCTTTCGAACTATTAAACCTAAACTATGCATTCAAAAGAAGTTCGTACAGCCATTATCCCTCCCTTGCTTGGCCCATTAAGACATAACCAACTAATGACTTCTACACCACCCCTTGTTTATATTTTCAACCCCTTTCTTATCATCCCTTAATCTTTTCACATCTTCATTAAAAACGTGTCTCATTTACTTCCCTTACAATCAGTCTAGCATTACTTAATCGGTTCATTTGTTTTTACTAGCCTTTATCGACTACTTCCACCTGAACAATTGTTTCTTTAATCATACTGGTTTTCATTATTCGTGTTATCACAGATTGCCTCACTTTTTCATCCTTATTATTGATAAAACTATCATCATTATTATTGCTATTATCAGTACTACTGTAACAACATAAGGCAAGAATCAGGCAACAGATCATTTATTAAGAAAATCAACACTTATTTATATATTTTCATGTACATTATTATAGCTTATTCAAACAAACAAACGGAGTCTTTTGATTGGTTGTTTCAGATATTATAGAGAAGATTTGTAGCTCAGGTGGATGATTTTGATGTGGTTTTGTTCTCTGAGCTGGATGGTTAGTTGTTTCTCACAGAAAGCTAAACTTGCATCTCTTTGTGACTGTTCCTTGAATGTCAGATTATCTATATGTTAACTGTATCCGCCTACGCAAAGTCTGCTGTGGTTGGTTGTTGAATCAGTCTTTGTTCATATTTCCTCATGACCAACATTTGGGACATAAATATTAATGTCTACCGATTTGGCTAGCAGCCTGCTCTCACCACACTACCATTATGACTAATTGCACAATTTATATTCACCATCTTATTATCCTATAGCCAAAATACGATGATTAGTTTATATTTGTATTTTATTTGTAAAGTTATATATATTAGAGTTAAGCCTGATGGGAAAATTAGTGTTATCAGTAAAATACAATAGGATGGGAAATAAGACGAGTGTTTTTATGACTTGTTAGAATGTTATAATGTGCAATGAAATAAATTTTAACATTATTTATTTATTATTCTCTGATTCGACTGGTAAAAATATCTTCCATATCTCTAGTTTTTACATTGGATCACCTCTATTGCAGGTGTTGGGTGTGTAGACCCAATGAACAAAGATTCAGTAATCAATCTCTCTTGCTCTCCACCTAACTATATTAATTTTTAGAATTTTGACTCTGTGCCACCTTTTTGTGTGGTTGTGTTAATACATGCAGTGCGAATGCTTAGTTTATTTTTTCTAAATTTCTTATTTTAACTTAGAGAAATTCTTATGCTCTCACAATCTAACTATCCCCAATCTACTGGTTTTACCTATACCAGTTGATCTTACAGTCATTGCAAGGCATTTTGTAAATTATATTGTTTTGTTTATTTGGGTCCATCGAGTCTTTTAGTCTGCAGAGCTTGTCTCTGAGTGAATTTTTAGGTTTCAGTGCCACCCAACTTATTGTATTGTATTTTGTTGACAACACTAATTCTGTTTCCGAATATACATTATCTTATATTGATTTTATTCAAATGTCTAACCATCAAGTTTTACTCATGTATGTAAACGAAGCAAGAAAGTTGTGTGAGTAGTGCCTTGATATGATTATGAGCAGTAATAAATTGTGCTCGAAACGTAGTCATCGGTAAATATTACTGAATAACACTGCATGATTTTATCAAAATAAAATTATATCCATAATGGAGTAGCGACCCTATTATGATTTTAATTTTATGATATTTTTAATATTTTTAGTGGGCGTATCATTTTTGGTAATAAGTGAAGTGATAGGTAAATTTGTGCTCAAATTGTCCGACATGTACATAGCAAACCCAGAGCCCAGTTTGGTCGGATAAATTCGTCTTTCTAATAACGCTATGCAAATGCATCAAAGAGCTTAACTGTTTTTCAATAACTCAAGTATTCAAATGCATCTATTGGGATGCAGTCAAAAATCGGATGAGACTTAGATAAACAATTTTAAAAAATTACATTGTCATTTGGATCCTAGGATCCGAATCCTCGTATATAGTAAATTGGCAGAAGTTGGGATTCATGGGCCAATAAATCAGGTCACAGTAGCTGAATGGTCTACCAGCTCGCCTTGTAACCAGAAGGTCCTGGGCTTGAACCACGGTTGGGCGTACTTCTGAAGAGTTCCAAACTAGGACAGAAAAGCTGTCCAGTACAACTACGTTTTCAAATGGTTCTCTAACCGATGTCAGCTTACGATGAAATCTTGTAACAAATCTAATAGGTATAATACAGTACCATTTTGGAATACGTGAAAAATTTCGTTAAAATTTCATTTCCTTTGAAACTATATAAAACAAGCCACAGAGCTGTATGAACGCAATGATATAAATGTGAACAGTAACTTGTGCGCCAGAGGTCAACGAATTATGAACACCGTAGCGGTGTATGTTGTATCAAATAGACTTACTTTATGTGGAATTGCATTCTATCATAGTGATAAAATTCTTCGCATAAAATTATGAAGGTATTAAGCGATGCAATATAATTCAGAACCAGCCAGCCGGAAGCGATCACATTCGAATTAGTCATGTCATTCACATGGGGAGTCGAGCCTGGCACCCAGTGTTTATAAATGACAATTAGTTATCTACCAGACTACTGAGACTCCAGATAAGTGGTGAACAAATAATACAGTGATCCAAATTCCTCCAAAATAATCTTGTTACAACTTAATCAGTAACACTGTAGCAGCTACGATCTCATTTCAAAACGGAACTCATTCAAGTCCATGCAACAGGTAATTATTTAAAGTGAGGTGAAAATTTATAGGCCAAAAGATATCAACAAAATAAATGGATCACAGAAATACGTTAGACTGATCATCTGAATATTATAGATTAGTTTACTTCAGTGAGATCATATCTGTACACCGTTGGTATTAGATGGTTTGTGTCAATCGGCATACAAAAAGCCTTGAAACTAGGTTTCGCGAATCTCAGAAGGAACATGAGTTCTTTCACGGTTGCAGATAAGCCTTGCTGATGA